TCATTTAGTAACGGACCAAAGTAGTAAAGTGTAAGTTAAGGAGACCTTAAGGACTATGAAAACCAACGGGCCGGAGTAAATTAAGAAGAAGGAATGCGTATATATATGTGGATAGTCGAACGACCAGCTACGTGCTATGCCCCAAAGATACATACTACTCAGTACGTGTTAACTAATTAACGTACTGAAGAGGTGCCAGCAGCGAAGCCCATCATCGCTGAAGAAGAAGGGCTGACCGGAGTAGAAAGACCCCGGAACTGTACTGCCATAGGCGCTGCAGTGGGAAGAGCTGCCGCTATCGATCAGTCCAACTCCGAAGAAGCCTCACCGTTCCGTAGCCAGGTCGCCGGCGTCTACTTGCGAAGAAGACAGTACGTACTCCGATCCGTGTTTCTTCTTCTTCTCTTGCAGTACGTTTTTTTATGGGCTGTCCATAATAATAATAAATAGTAAATATAATAATAATAAGTATAATACGGAGTAATAAACTGTGGCCATGAAAAATGGAATCTAGGCTGGCCGTAATTAAATAATACTACGTAATTAAAAAAAAATAGTTATGATTAAAGCAATTAAATCCCAAGAGGAGGAATTTTTAATTCAAGGGTAGAGGAATTTAACTAGTTTGAATAAGATATTGATTGTTGAATTTGAATAGAAGGCAAATTTGAATTTAACTACATCATAACAATTTCACCAGGAGTACTTGGAGTTTGAGGTAAGTTTCTTTGCTAATCCAAAATCGTTTCCTCGTATTATATATGTATTATGTGATACGTGATTTTAATGTGAGTTATGATGTATATGCATGTGATTTTGAGATTGTTCGATCTGTGATATTTGAGAAGCGAAACTAAGTGCTTTTGGGTATTAAATATTTTATTTAAATATTTTCGAGGCAGTTTGAGAAATTGAGGAATATTTTGAAGTATAATTATTTAATATAAAAGAATGATTTCATAAGAGGTAGGCATCTCGGGAGCAATCCGAGGTGTCGGTTTTCCACGTCCCTTAAAATGTGGAGGGTGGTTAGGGCTACTACTAAGAAGAAGAGATTTTTGAGTAACTTCCGGATAGATGATCCCTTTTAAGAAGCAGAGTTGTAGTAGTAGTCCCTAATCATTCAGAGATATATATTATTCAGGGGTAGTTGGTAGACTGAGTCCCGATTACTCGTGACGACTTACTACTCGGAGGGCTTGGAATCCTTTTTAGGGGGTGCACACACTTAAGGTAGTCGTTTCGTTTCCACAAGAGCGTTGTGGTACCGGCATTGATCGGGGTGGCCGTCCGTAACCACGGTCCACCGGGCTCAGCCGAAAGGTTGAGCACCGCCCTTCTAAACTACTAGGAAGTTAGTGAAAAAGAGATTTTTGAGAAATTCAAAGTGAAGAGTTACTTTGATATTTTCAAAGAAGAATGAGGATTTTAGAAAAGAAGTGATTTTGAGAAAAATCAAAGGAAAGAATTTTGGTGGAGTGTGTTATTTTTGTATAATATTATATGAAAAATTATTTTCGTCAAACCTGATTATTTTACGGGGTTGGGTAGTACTTACTTAGCTCTAAAGCTAATTTTTGTTATTTTTCTTGTCCCTCTCTTCTCCCTTAATTTTTAGCAAATGATGAGTTGGAAGCTTATGTTGATTGATTGATTGCTCGAGCTTGAGAGCGACTTAGAAGATGCCTTGGTCAAATTTAGTCATGAAATAAACATTTGATTATTATTACATTAGTTTTTGTTGTTTTGTTTTGGTTTGCCTGTGCATTCGGTCAAGAGATGACCGGATGTGGCGGTAACACCCATTTCCCTATTAAGACTTCCGCTGTATCTCTGATGTTTTCAAATAAAGTTGATAATTCCTTTGAATAAATCATTATTTAAATGTATTTTTGCGTGAGAAAAATGGGAGTGTGACAATCGGGCCCCCCATGACCAGAACCCTCATCGTCCACGTCAAGGGGAAGGTAACGGCCAAACTCAGAACAGGGCCACCAAACGCCACGACAGGGAACGGCCAACGTGGTCCCGCATCGGCCAAGAGCATCAAGCACAGAAATCTACTCTCCTTCACTTCGTCTGCATCTCATCTTAGAGAGTGGGGGACTCCTGATGGAGTATATGGATCTAGGCCCCAGGACCCACATACTCAGAAGAACAGAAAGCACAAGCCACTACGCGGTGCCCTCGTCGGCCAAAGGACCCTCGTCGGCCGAAGAGGGACCGACTCAGAATATGCCCCTGAGGCCGGGGAACCAGGGTGTCCTCATCGGCCGTGCCCTCATCGGCCGTACCCTCGTCGGCCAGACCCTCGTCGGCCACGGAGGACTCGCAGAACTAGATTTTACACTTAATCATTTATGTATCCCACCATCTACTTTGTATTCGGCCCAATAGCGGTCCAGTTGTAAATGGGCCTCCCAAGCCCAAGGCTTGGGAGCCCAGCCCGTATTTTTCCTATAAATACTTCCTCTGGAGGTAGTTATAGGGGTTACAAAATCATTCTATTGAAGCATTTACTTGCACTTCTCTCTCTAGCTCTCACTTCTCTCTAGATATATACTCTATCATTGCCCTTTCAGGTTTTCAACTTAACAAGCTTTTATTAATTTTTTTTAACAAGAGTATGAATGTGAGTATTCCATAAAACTCCCCCCCAAGCTAACCAAAGCACTGTCCCTAGTGCTTGTGTCCGAGATGTCCAATAGAATGAATCCCTTTGCCCTTTTTGGTGCCATTTATTTTCTTTTTGGTTGATGAAATTTTGGCTTTTGTTGTTTGTGGAGTAAGGGGATTTGGATATTTGGTTATTTGGGAGGTTTTTTTGTGGGTGTGGTGGTGAAGAGGGTGATGAGGAGATGCAGAAAATGGTTTTTTTATGGATTTGGTGTAGAAACAAAGTAGATTCAAATGTATGGAATTTGAAAATGGTGTTTTGGCGGAGTTGGTTCGTGTTTGCATAAGATGAAATGAGGAAGAAGAGCATGCCATCTCGGTTTTTGTGGAAACATTCCCGACGCCCGGCCGGGTGGGCTTGAGCTTGAGGTTTGGCCTTGGTGATTTGGGAACGATTGTTGGGAGGGCTGATTTTGTTGTGGTTGAGGGTTCCCATATCTCAAATTCGGGTGATCTCTCCACCCGGGGTTGTAAGTGTTAGAGTGTGGATCGTACCTCTTTTGTTGATGAGACTGAAAACCCAAGGCATTGACTTGTTCTTCATGGAGAGTTGGGCAAGAATCGGTTGGATGCCCTTTCTGTGTGCATATGCCGCAGACCTTGACTTCTTGGTTTCTAGGATTCAAAAGGAAATCCTTAACCAAATAAGTCAAGCCGGCCATTTTACTTTCTAACGATGTAGATGATTCTACCACGGCAACTTTACGGGTTGAGGACCGCCCGTTGTAATGCCTAGAGTTTTCGGCCAACTCCGAGATCAAGCTTGTTGCTTGTGAGGGAGTTCTATTGACAATGTCGCCCCCACAAGCTGCATTCACCATGTGTCTATCTTGATCCGCAAGACCATCATAGAAGTAGAGGATGAGGTCTTGCTCCGTGTATCCATGGTATGGGCAACTAGCACACAACTTTTTGAACCGTTCCCAATACTCATACAAGGATTCATCATCTTTTTGATCAATGTTGCTTATTTGTGTTTTCAAAGATGATGAGATAGAGGCGGAGTAGTACCTTTCTAGGAAGCATTTCTTCATTGCCGCCTATGTATCTATGCTTCCCGAAGGAAGATAGAATAGTCAATCCTTAGCCGTGTCCTTCAGTGAGAATGGAAAGGCTCTCAGCTTGATTTGTTCTTCTGTAACATTATTCGGTTTCATACTAGTGCAAACTATATGAAACTCTGCAAGATGTTTATTTGCATCCTCGCCTCTTAGGCCATGAAATGAAGGAAGTAGATGAATGAGGCCCGATTTGAGCTCAAATGTAGCACCTTCGTCAAGAGTGGGGAATGTGATACATAGAGGTTGTTGATTTAAGTTAGGAGCCGTGAGCTCCCTCAACGTTCTTGTTTCTTGAGCCATAGTGATTGGCTCTTCGTTCTCGCTAGAATAAGAACTAGCACTTGATGATTCCTCTGAAGAAGTATTCGGAAATAAATTCATAAACCTCTCGAAGGCTTGTTCTGTTTCGGGCTTTGTTTGGTAGGTGATTTGGTTTATAGACCGATGTTTAACCATATACTCAAATAAAGCTCAGAAGAATAGAAATCTAAGAACTCTTTATGTTTTGTTTATTTATATTTTTTTTATTTTCCTTGAAATAAAATAAAAAGAAAAATTAATTGCCTTTCCCCGGCAACGGCGCCAAATTTGACGAGTGCGTCAAAATAATTCGATACTAACACTTATACGTAGTATAGGTGAAGTAGAGTTTGTATCCACAGGGAAAAGAATACGTCTCTTTTTATAAAACTATGTAAATAAAGGGGGGGGGGGGGGATTTGGATTGAATGATTTGATTTAATAAGAAACTAAGATGAACGACTTATATGAGATTTAATTCAAGAATAAAAGGGACTTGACTTTGCTACTTTCCACTTGTTGATATATTTTAGTCGATCCTTGTTATATGTATAACTTATCCCCTCTCGAATACTCAATCGAGGAGTATCTCCAATTCATCGAGGGTAGTCATTAACAACGATCGTTCATTAATAACTCTTTGATGAAATCAATTGAGATTGATAACCTCAACACAACGATTTCAGTTTAACCAACAAAATTGATCCCTCTTAAGTCTATTAACCACGATCGTGCATTAATATACCGAAGTTACTTACTTGTGAAACCACCAACGATTAACCATCAGTTCGTTGATCGTTTCTAGTAGTAATTAATGTCAGAACGTTAACTAATCGTCACTTAGCAACCCTCCAACATTAATATAGAATGAGATTAAGGGAAGAATTAATAATCAAGAGAATGTTTCCATATTTTTTATGTTTCCTAATGTACTCAGAACTCTACTTATTATATATATAACATCTAGGGTTCCCAATTGGGTAAGTCATTCCATTATTCTCACAATTTCTTCATGGATGCTATTACATGCATAAAAAAATAGAAAGGGAAGAAAAATGTAATGAAGAGTATAATCATCAAAAAACATATGGAGCATGTTAATGTGCTCATTACGAAGTATGTTGGCATGATGAGTGACCATGATTATCTAAATATTTTAGATGAATGAATCATGATCATTCATCGCATCAACGTGCACCATAGTGAGTACGTTAGCATGCTCCATACATTTACTTGTATAAATCTACATATATTTATTTAATAGCTTTGATATTCATGCTGAGAATGTCCACCACCGGTATGACCAATTCCTCCGTGGTTGGTTGGGAGTGTGGATGACCGCTTCCGGAGGCGACGCTCCTCATCCTTGAGATGTTTGGTTTGAGCTTTCAAATCCTTTGGAGTCATCTCCATCTTACTGATCTTCTCTACTTTCCCTAACACTTGTTCCATGTCAGGTCGGAGTTTACATTGAGGGTTGAGACACCTTATGATGAGCTCAGCCACTTGAGAAGCAGCTTGGAAGGGGTAACCATGCTCCAGACGAGGATCCATTAAGTTCCTCAGCTTGTTTTTGTTTGGAAGTAAGGGTTTTGTCCACTTGACTAAATTATATTGATGGGGTTGCCGGCTTGAATCAAGAACCCTCATACCAGTTATTATTTCAAGTAGTACTACTCCAAACCCATACACATCACTCTTCACATATAAATGGCCTGCAATATCATCAAGGATGAAAATATTATGATCTTGATGGAAATATTGAAAATATATATCAAGGGTTGAATTTCATCATTGCATGCAACTATATACATTCCATCTCTTATTTTGTGGGAAATGTTTAAATTATTTGCTTTATCATAATTAAATTGCAGGTGGACAATGACCCTAGCCTTGTGGTATTTTTAATTACTCAGAAATATGCCCCCTTAATGTTCTGGTGTGCAGATTGGCATTGGCAAGCTTAATGTTTTTCACTAAACTTTGAAAAAAGAACATAATTGTATGTTTTTACTAATCTAATCTATTAGTAAAATTTCTTTGAATAAGATAGAGAAATCATTTTTGGTCCCAAGACAATTCTAGTTGTTACCACCGATGATCTACACTATACTTTTTGGATTTTGTAAATTTGTATGCACAACTATGCTTCTTTTATCTATTCTTTTCTCAATAACTACAATAATAAAGTGCATTCATGAGAAAAAATCATTGTATTGCATAAAAAATAGTGAGAATTATCTAACAATCATAAATAGAAACTATCTAAAAAATTCAATTTACATAAACTGATATACTATACAAGAATACTTATAAACTCAATACATAAGCTACCTGTGGACATGTATTCGGGAGCTGCATAACCATACATCCCTACGATGTCAGTTGTAACGTGTGAATTACTGTCAACGGGACCAAACTTGGCAAGTCCAAAGTCGGAAAGTTTTGCATTGAAGTCCTACAAATAAATCAGATAATCTTTGTAATTATATTCCAAAAAAAATCAGCATTATCCATACTTTGTACTCCCTCCGTTCTTTATTATCTGTCCTCTTAGGCTTTGACACAGATTTTAAGAGGAAAATAATTGGGGTAGTATAAAAGGTGCAGTGGGTTGTGGGTAAATGAAAAAGTAGGAAAAATAAAGGGGTAATGGTAATAAAAGTGAGGGTATAAAGGTATTTTGATTAAAAAAAACTTACTAAAAAGGGAAACAGAGACAAATAATTAAAAACGTCTCAAAAAGGAATACGAGACAGTTAATAAAGAACGGAGGGAGTACTATTTTATTTTGATATTAGGATATTATTATTATTATTATTATTATTATTATTATTATTATTATTATTATTATTATTATTATTATTATTATTATAGAGAAAAGCCAAAAAACAAGGAAAGATACTTTACAGATTTATAATTAAATGGGAGTAGTTTCCATGTATAGCATTTCGAAAGACCATTTATTAATGAATCAATTAGTGGTAAGATAAATTTACCCCATCAAGTAAAACATTGGATGCTTTGAAATCTCTATAAATGACACTCTTCTCAGTATTGTGCAAGAAAACAAGCCCTTTAGCTGCTCCTATTGCAATTTTGATCCTTGTGTCCCAAGAAAGTGGCTCTCCTCCCTTCTCTGTAATAAAATTATTTAATTTGGTTAAAGAATCATATTGAACGTAGAATAGGGAAAGAGATGATATTTGATCAAGGGCTTATTACTTCGGAAAAGATGACTTTCTAGACTTCCCTTCTGCATGTATTCATAAACAAGAAGAAATTGCTTGTCCTCCCAACAATATCCAAATAGCTTGACCAGATTTGGGTGAGAAAATTTCCCTAAAAACTTTACTTCTGCCCGCATTAACAAAAAGTTATACGTTAAGGATATTAAATTATATATATAATATGAGAATATTACCCGAAATAGGACTAAAAGAGTTTGAAAATTCAAAAATAGGACTGCCATGTTTTTATTCCCAAAATATGACTCATTACTTCCATGTTTTGGCAGTACCAGACTTCAAACATAACAGTATTTTCTAAACTTATCAGTAATTACTCCTATTTTGGGAATAAAAAACATGACAGTCCTATTTTGGAATTTTCAAACTCTTTTAGTCCTATTTCGGGAACTTTCCTATTATATATTTACATGCATTATAAATTTAACAATTTTACTATATACTCCGTAGAATATATAATTTACAAAGGCTTAGATACGTTCTCTTTTCTACAATATGTATTTTATCTCTTCTTTTATGAGGTCTGTCACCGGATTTTTGTCAACCTTCTTTTTTAAGAAAACGGAATGAAAAAACATAACACTCAAAACTACTTCTAAAATTCTTTAAAAACATTCAAAATATGATTAAATAATAGAGAAAGTTTCTTAAGTAGAAGTAAGAACATTAAAAGATTGAGACAATTACGAATTTAAATTAGGTATTGCTGTGTATCTTATAAAATTATGTAACTTTTTTATCTCATAAATATAAACTTGAGAACATAGCATTCTATATATTAATGTAAAACAATGATCACACATGATTTCCCGAGATATGACTAAAACATATATATATATATATATATATATATATATATATATATATATATATATATATATATATATATATATATATATATATCGAGTTTCCCTAAATATGACTGAAAAATTTAGCTATGTTAAAATGTTTGTGAGCTATGAAAAATTTAGCTATGCTAAAATTATGTTTTTTCGACATTGTATGACTGAAAAGCAAAAATAAAAATAAAAATTTAGCTATGTTAAAATGTTTAATGATCAAAATACCCTTATTTAAAAAATGTGTATTTTACAATATTTTCGTCTAATTAAAAATAATGCACTTTATTTCAAAAGATTTCAAAAGATGTTGGCAAAAAAAAATCAAAGTGCTACAGAATGTTGAAGGGATGAAGTATGAATAAAACTTCAGAGATTTTTCAGCACACCAATAACGACTTCGTGCTATTAGTAACCAGTCCACTGAAGATTTTGACTTTCTAAGTCAACGTTTTTGTGTCAGGTCTTTTTCATTTGATTTTTAGTCAAGATCCAGCTACCGAATAAATAATTGTGAAAAGTACAAAGGAATAATAACATATTTTGATCAAAATATTAAATGACTCGCCATTCTTTGGATTACAATTAAATCTATGGGTGAATAATATTTTCTTCCATATAACTTTCATATTTTCCTACTTTCATTTTTCGTCCGTAACATTAAAAATTTTCTCATTTCTAAATCTTCTCATCGTATCCTTAATAATTTTAAAAATATAACACTACTACAACTACTTTTTTGGATTTATATATGCTTCATTCCAGCATAGTACTACCTCCGTTCCCATTTTAACTTTCAAATGAGTTTGGCACAAAGTTTAAGATAGTGGATATTGTGTGGTGGAGAGTTGTGCAGAGGAGAGAGAATTGTGTAAGAAATGTTGTGAACCACAAATTCTTTAACAAAAAGGGAAAGTGGAAGTTTTAATTGGAACGGACGAAAAAGGAAAGTTGGAAGTTTATTTAGGAACGGAGGGAGTATTTGATTATCTTCTCATCATACTCGCAATAATTTAGATTCTCTTTCACTATTCTTAATTTCACTTACTTTTAAACGGGAAGATATATATATTATGGAGGTAGTACTTTTTAGAGATTAAAATATATTCGAACTCGTTTAGTAACCCCTCTTTTGAGCTTATCAAGCTTTACATTTTTACTAAACACGTGATATTTTAGGATTGCTTTGGCAAACTGAAATTGTGTAATAATCAAAATAAGTAATGTTAAACATATTTTTTTTATTGAATTGGCTGAAGTTACGATAAATATAATTTAGCTATTTTCATGTAATTTTTATTGATTCTAACAAAACATATTTTAAAATTCATTTTTCAGAAATCATCGATTCAGCAAATAAGTCAAAACTCTCATCAATTTTAACATAATCAACCGGTTCAGGCAAAACTCTGTCGAATTCAACGGATTCAGCCAATTTGTTTGTGTCATTCAAAGGCCTCGAAAGCTTTCAAATAAATGACAAAAGAATTTACCAGTGTTTTAGGAAGTGAACATAAATCATTGGAGGCAATACAACAAGTGGGAATGGCTGGAAAGAAAGAATTACCTGCCATTCTTTCAATCCTTGCTCGCTATCCGGACTGGATTTCTTGACAGCAACTGGAATGCCAACACCAACTTTGGAAGCTGCATAGGTTTTGGGGTCAACCCAACCCTTAAACACCTTTCCAAACCCTCCTTCTCCCAACATAGTATTTTGCCTAAAATTCCTAGTTGAACTCTTTAGTTCACCCAATTTGAAATGCTTCAAATTTGGGACAATTATATGCCCACTCGAAGGAACCACCTGACTATGAAAACAGAGTATGCGTTTCCCTAAGACCCTAACTATGAAAACACTAACAGATAGAAATATCGTACTCCATCCGTCCCGAAAAGATTTGCCAAATTGACTTTTCTTGATCACTTTTGCTCTTTCTCTCTTTCCCAAAGATTACTTTTCCATAATTATAGCATTTCGAAAAAATTATAAATTGATCTACCTGTGGAGATCTACCTGGAGTTATTTATTATAAAAATTTTGACAACCAAACGTGTGGTATAAGATGTTTTACAGGCTTAAGCCAGCAGTTTCCCATAACTCTATCTGTGAATTCTATTTCTTCTACTTTTGGAAGTAAATGGAGAAGAAGTGTTATTATTGAGGAAGAATTCAGAGCTAGTCCACAATGAGTTGAGTCAAAGAGAAAGAGCGGTAAAGGAAGCCTATTATTATCGTAGACTTTTCCACTCTTTTTCCTATTGGTCATGGAGCTTGTCATCAAGATTGTTTGTGGATAACATAAAGTTGTTTTATTTTTTTAATGTATTTTGATAAACATAAAGTTTATTGTGTAGTGTGTTATTTAGAGAAATATTCCGTCCAGTTCATTCACGTGGGTTAATCTTGTATTTTAATGGATTTGATTTACTCAGCCTGTTTGGTGACCCTTTTTCCAGCTTATTAGGCTTATCAGCTAGCTTTTTCATTAAACACGTAATTTTTGATTTCACGCGCTGAAGTTTGTAATAAGCAGAAAAAGTAAGGTTAGAGTTACTTTTCTGGCTGTTCTGGCTGAAGTTACTGTAGAGGATCATTTTAGCTATTTTTCATATAATTTTTTGTTTAATTTATCAATAACAAATATTTTAAATATAATTTTTTCATAAATCAGCTGAATCAGCCAATACAGCCACTTCAGCCAGAACTTCATAAATTTCAGCAGAATCAGTCAATTCAGTCAATTTTAGTGTTACCAAACAGGCTCTTAGTCTCTTAGACCATCCCCTAAAAATATAAATATTAATTTCATCTATACGAAAATAAGTGAGTATTCAACATTTTTTCCTACATTACATCACCACCAATAAATTACACTAAACATATTTTTTTACATCAATTTAGTAAAATGTTAATTAAATATTAATAAGTAATGTTTTTCTTGTTTTTTCTGAATATCATGAAACTAAAAGATTCCATTTCTATGTTACAAAAAATCAATAACTTCTTCACTCTCTTCAATTAGGAAAAAATTAAATGAGTTCATGTAAAGTTCACTTATTTTTGGATACATCATGGATTGAAATTTGTGTTTCTGTATTTTAGGGCTCAAAAATAATCTAACATTAAAATTTTCAGATTTGTTTAATTTTATAAATGTGATATTTGTGTCATATGAAACATTACAAAAATTTATGATTATTGATATATATTTTTTTTGTAAAATTTAGAGTAAAAATAAAAAGATATAAGCCTTTAAAAAATGTTCTTACGTGAATTCTTTTTTTCTCTCTTATTAATAAGGCCGGGGAAGAGGTCCACAAATTAATTATATTATTCTTGTTAACAATGTAGAAATTGTATCAAGTGAAAAAGAAAAATAGTGCTTCTCTTAGAGGTTCTTGTGTTTGTGACTTGTAGCCTAGTGGGATTTTACAAGTTAGATTTGCATATGTTAGATTTGCATATGTTAGATTTGCTTACCTTTTCACAAGTTTAAAAGTTAAAAGTTTGTCACCGATGACCGATCCATATCTATCTAAATTCAAGGTCGGAATTTTATGTCCTAGATGGACATAAAAGGAATTAAATAATTTATTTTCTTAAAAGCTACTATGTATTTTATTTAAGTTTTAATTAAAGAAGGAAATTTGTAGCTTAGCATAACCTAAATGCATAGTTTTTTGTGATAAACCTTATGGTTAGTTAATCAAAAAATTTAGTGTGACGTACTTCATCCATCCTAGTTTAAGGGTCTCACTTAGGCGTCCCACCTGAGGATTCTCATTCCTTTTTTGTTTTGTTTTTTAGGAAATAATTAATACTAGCACTATAAAAAAATTCGCCTGTACTCACGGGCTTAGTCACGTACCGCAGTGTAAAAAATCCGTGACTAACATAGTTAGTCATTGATTTTGTCCGTGACTAAGTCCGTGACTACAATGTAGTCACTGAAATTTGACCGTGACAAAGTGTAGTCACAGATTAGTCACGGACAAGGTCCGTGACTAATTCTTGACCGGAATTTGCTACTCCGGCACGGTAGTCACGGACCTGGTCCGTGACTACCTTTAATTTAATTTTTTTTTATTTTAGTCACAGATCGATCCGTGACTAAAATTTTTTTTGTTTTTAAAATTCGGCCATTTTAGTCACGGACGAATCCGTGACTACGTTTTGAAATTTTTGAATTTTTAAAAGCCCGCGGTTTAGATTTTCAAAATTTGTTTTAGTCACGGACATGTATCCGTGACTATGTTTTTTTTTTAAAAAAAATAGATTTTGAATTTGAAAAAGTGTTCCGGACCAAAAAAAAATAGTCACGAATTTAGTCCGTGACTAAAATTTTTGGTTTTTTAAAAAAATCCATTTTAAAAAAATTGAAAATTGTTTTAATTTTACTTTAAAGTAATTAGAACATTAAATGAAAAACAAAATCCATACAATGTTAAACATAAAAAATGTTATTACAGACTGAATTATAAAACTAATATGAAATGTTAAACTTAAAAAATGTATTATTACATGCCCGCACGTCGGACTCCATTATGATAAAAATTAGGATCAAAATAATCATATGCATCATCATTATCATCATAATCACGATGATGAACCTCTTCAGCATCCACGGTGTCTAAGGGTCGGCCTCCTCGGCTGCCACGGCTGCCTCCTCGGTTGCCTTCATCATAATCGAGATGCAAGACCGTCTTTAGTTTTGCCTTTGAAATCCATCATTGTGTTAAATATATTGTCAAACACGTTCTTCTCAGTGTGCATGACATCTATATTGTGACTGATAGAGTATATATCTAGAGAGAAGTGAGAGCTAGAGAGAGAAGTGCAATATATGCTTCAATAGAATGATTTTGTAACCCCCATAACTACTTCCAGAGGAAGTATTTATAGGAAAAATACGGGCTGGGCTCCCAAGCCTTGGGCTTGGGAGGCCCATTTACAACTGGACCGCTATTGGGCCGAATACAAAGCCACTAGTGGGCTGTACAAATGAGTAAGTGTAAAATCCGGTTATGTGGGTCTCCCGTGGCCGACGAGGGCTTTGGCCGACGAGGGCACGGCCGACGCGGGCACGGCTGACGAGGACACCCTGGTTCCTTGGCCTCAAGATAATATTCTGGATTGGCCCTTCTTCGGCCGACGAGGGTCTTCTGGCCGACGAGGGCACCGTGTAGTGACTGTGCTTTCTGTTCTGAGTATGTGGGTCCTGGGGCCTAGACCCATATACTCCATCAGGAGTCCCCCACTCTCTAAGCTGAGATGTAGACGAAGTGCAGGAGAGTATATTTCTGTACTTGATGCTTCTTGGCCGATGTGGGACCATGTTGGCCGTTCCCTGTCGCGTGGTAACCCTGTGTTTTGAGTTTGGTCGTTGCCTGTCCCCTGATGCGGCCAGGGAAAGCCCTTGTTCCTTTGGTGCGCTTTGTTTGTTGAATGATGCGCGTTCTGGCACGGGTGGCCGATGAAGGTAGTGTCTGTCCTTGGTTGTTGGCTAGGTAAAGTTTCCCTTTTGGGCTGGTGAGGCCGATGAGGGCACTCTGCATTCCCTTTGGCCGTTGTTGATGATGCCTTGTGTTTTTGGACGACCAGGCGTCATGTTGCCCAGTGTTTTGGGGTTGATAATACTGTCTGGCCGAAGAGGAAGCTGTGAGGACCTCGGGGCCGTTGTGGTACATGGACGACAGTGATTTAGGTATGTTGACCTTTCTCTTGGTTCCTGGCTTGAGTGATGTGGTTTCAAAGCCGATGAGTGTCCTGTGATCTCAAGCTTTGCTGTGGCCGATGGTGCACCATGATGTCATGGACGTTGTGGTGCATGTCTGATGTTGTAGTTGTGGACTTGGTGTATTCTTGGATTTCTTCTGGTTTTGCCTTTTATTCTTGAGGCCGGTGTAGTCCCCCAGTCTCCCACTGCTTCAGGCCGAAGAGGGTGAGGGGTGAAGGAGTAGATTAAGACCTAGGCCGAAGTGTGGTCCTCATACTGCCCTTGAATCCAACCCTTTGGCGATTTCCTGACCAAGGTAACCCTGTGGGAGAACCCTTGGACGCAGGTCGCTTTCAAAGGGCTATCATCAAGGGTCTAGTGCAAGGGCCGCATGGCCGTTATGTTCGTTTCCTTTGGGGTATTGTGGCCGTTGTGAAACCTTCCTTTGTATAATGCGTGGCCCTTTGAAAGGCCGATACGGGTGCTACCTGGGTAGCCGTAGGCTGTGTTGGCCGTTGAATGCTCTGGCCGTTATGGGTGTTGTCTTTTCCCTTCTTGATCCGTAGGGCCCTGCTTCGGTGGTGATCTGTAGATAGAGTGGTGGCACCCTATTGGTGGCCGTTGGTGTGGCCACTGAGGTGCTGCCACGTGTAGTTACTGTTGGAGTGTGGTCTATAAATACCCTCCTCCTTCCGAGGAGGGGAGCTCATTTGCAATCTGAGTAACGAAGTGCTTCCCAAATTCTTAGAGAGAGAGAGCTCTGCTGAGTGTTCTTCACCCCCTTCAAATCTTCAAGGTTAGTTCTTCAACCTGTTCTTCGATTTGCTACATATTTTGCTCTCCTAGGCCTCGATCTAGTGTTAGTCACAAAAACGCCTTAGATCTGAAATAGCTTGCCTTAGTGCCTTAGGAGTTGTTTAGGATGAAGTCTTTAAACGACGAGTATTATCCGTACGACGACGAGCCCTCCGTCAAGTCTCTTGACTACGCTGTGATTGAAGAGTGTGCCGAAGAGATCGAGTGCCTGAGCCCGTACAAGTCTGGGGGGCCTGGGGACGAGGAGGACGAGGACGAAAGGTCTGCTTCGTCATCTGAGGGTGAGGACGTAAGGGCCCCCCGTGTGGTGGACGAGGCGTCCGCCTCTACTATCCCATGCCCGAAGCCGGTATCCGCCGTCAAGGGCCTGCCACGGCCGAAGAGGAACAGGAGGCCGAAGAATGGGCCAGGCTTCTCTCACCTGGACCTCACCAACATTTTCTTGATTAAGCCGGAGAGCAGTGCTGCCGATTACCTGGTCGCACAGATGTACGTGGGGCCATTCGGGAGGGTCAGGGCGCCGAGGCCGACAGACCACGTTCTCAACCCGCCGCGGGGGTACTTCGGGGTCTACCCGATGAGTTTTGCTAAGGGGCTGAGATTTCCCCTTCATCCCTTCATTCAAGAATACCTGGACATGGTGGGGCTTCCACCGGCC